AATCAGCATGGTCTCAGAGAAGTTCAAGGGGCCATTTTGCCCCCTGAATTCAATATTTACATTTATCACATTCATTTTCACTATTTCAAACAGGCATAACCAAGGGCAACAACAAAAGAAAAGAATAAAAACTTTACCTTCCCATGTTCTTTCCAGAAAACCACCCAGTAAACGACATGGCCATACCTGACCTCTAGCTAGCCAAGAAAGACAAACTGAAATAAGGCAAAGGTCAGACAAGCATCCACTCTCCAACGTCATGATTTGTTTCTCTAGTGCCCCACCCCAACGTAGTTACCATAACGTGTTAGGCAAGGTTGACAAAAGAAACAACCCAGTGGCACTACATGTATGTATGGGAAAGAGCGTTATGTCAAGAGGCAACTGTATGGAGTAAATATCACAGCCTGGTCTAGATCAAGTCCCTAAGTCTCACACTAGTCCATCGATCACTCTGTAGACTCACGCGGCTGCATGCAGTGCAGAATGCAGGCAGTTCACAGGCTGGTGGTTGAAAGGTCTTGTGGATCCAGTGGTGCTGGACCCATCGCAGGACTCCTGCAGGGCTCAGCAGAGTGAGGCAACAGCACGAAGGTGAAGCAGAGAGAGAGTGGCTGGCCACCAGTGAGCCATGATCTCAGTGGCACCTCCAAATGAGAGCAAGCTGCAACCTGACAGGCTCAACTCCATCCACCTCTTCACTCCTGTCCTTTCAAGTTGGCACGCGGTGACGTAATTACCACAGGTGCCATCTAGGTGGTTTAGACTCATAAGGACCCTCTCCGCACAGGATGAAATGCTGCCCCTGCTGCACCAGCCTCCAGTGGTCATGTGTGCCCACTGTTGCAGCCGCTGTGACATTCCATCTGCTGTGACACTCCCCAAACCCTGTCTTTCCCACCACCCGTGTTGGGATGGAGTCCCTGGCACAGCAAGGCAAGATGGGGAGGGGCTCAGCTGACTAACAGGAAGATCAGCCGACCGACCCCACCGAGCAGCAGGCAGAGAAAAGGCCTGGCCACCCGCTTCCATAATGATGACCAGCTAGGACCTCGTAGGGGGCCGTGCTGCACTGTCACATGGGGTCACAGTGGACCTGACAGCCCCCAACTGGTCCCAGCGATTCCCAGGCAGTGCTGATCCTGTCAGCCCAGGTGGCGTATTTTGAGGAGTCCTGGTGGTGCGGTGGTTACATGTTGGGCTGCTGACCCCAAGGTCAGCAGTTCAAAACAACCAGCTGCTCTGAGAGAGAAAGATGAGGCTTTCTACTCTAATAGTCTCATAAAACCTACAGGGCTCCTCTACCTTGTCCTGTCGGGTCGCTCATCCAACCAAGGGCAGTGAGTGAGATTTCCCTCCTCCTTGCTTGGCGTGGAGGCCGCATGTAAACAGTGCGGGGGCCCTGCTGCTGTCCCTGTGTGTGGACATGGGACGGGAGGGTCAGCTGCTGTCCATGCGCCCTCATTCAGTGCCCGCCTCCGTGCTTCACCCCACAGTGCCGGAGCCGGGCGGACAGGCACCTTCATCGCGCTCAGCAACATCCTGGAACGCGTGAAGGCCGAGGGGCTCCTGGACGTCTTCCAGGCTGTCAAGAGTTTACGCCTTCAGAGGCCGCACATGGTGCAAACCCTGGTAAGCAGCTGCGCTGGCAGCCGGCGGGGCTGTGTCCGGAAGAGACGGGGCTTATCTCCTGTTGCACTGGATGTAGGTTTCCTTAAAGGGTACGGGGAGACCCCAGGCGACATTCCCAAGAAACCTTGTTCTGAAAGCTGGGCAGATCTTCTTCCTTTGGCTGGGGTTCCCGGGGTCAGGCTTGTCTGCGACATGGGATGGTGGCATGGCCCCGGCTCTCTCCCTGGACCTGGTGTGTGCTGACAAAGACCCCAGGCCGCAGCAGCAACAGTGTCACCCTCCCTTGTTTGAACTGTCTCCTGAGCTGGGCTTGCTCTATCTCACCAGACCATCCAAGGACTTAAGTGACAGACTGGGGGCGGGGGTGGGGGTGAGGGATCGGGTTGGGGGTGTGTGTGAATTTGTTTCTGCTGAGGGCCACCTGGAGATTTATAACAACCTTGGAGGACCACACAGAGCAAACATTTAATTAACTCACCCCTCAAACGAGGGCTGGGACTACTCTTTGGGGAGGCGTGGGACATCGGTGGGTACAGATTTCTCGGGCCTCGTACGGCCCTCTGGGGCCCTGCTGCCATAGTGAGTTCCGCACTAGGCTGTATCTAGCGAGGAGGCTGAACGCCAATGTGTTGGGAATGAAGAAGGGGTGTCAGGACTCTCCTGCTCCCCAAGCTCAGGACCGCCCCCACCACCACCACCACCAGTGGGCCAAGCCAATTACCTGAGTCTGCAAATAACCTGACATAGGTTACCTGCCTTCGTGGGACTCTAAGCCTTTGACCTGAGCCCCTCCCATGGCCCCAAAGTTTTCAAGACTCACAGTAGGTTCACCAACAGAGGATCTCTTCATCTCCGTGGAGTACCCAGCCCTGCGGGCTCAGGGCGCCAGCCTGATTGTGCCCCACTGACCCACGGACCCACCTCTGGTTTGTGGGGTGGCTGTGAGCCCCCAGTGACGGCCTTTCATATGAGTTCCAGGAAACATTAGTTCTAGGAGACCTCCCTGAGAGTAACAAGCTTAGGCGTTTTTTATGTTACTTTCAGAAAAGACTTCTTTTGTTACATTGTGGCCTGACAAAGTTACCCTCCGTTTTTTCCTGTCCCCAGTTCATCATGAGGAATTTCCCAGTTTAAGTATGAACGCCAGGGCATTTTGCACAGCCTGTCCTGTAAACATTTGAAGTCTTGGATGCCCACAGGAGCAAGTTCTCCTCTGGCTTCCAGCAGGGATACCTCCTCCCCAAATGCCATCACAGGCCCTTGGTGGCCCAGCGGGTTAAGCAAAGGGTTGGGCCGTCTGTCTTGTTTTCTTCGGCTCTAAAATTGAAATCACACATGGACATTTTCTAGGTGAGAAGGTGGCTTTCCCTGGACACCCAGGTGCCTGGTAACCACATTCTCATGGAGAGCGCGTGCAGGGGGGCCTCCCTCCGCCCTACAGCTTAGTCTTCTTAGAACTGATCCCATGGTCTGCGAGGCAAGTCTAATGTCATTGTAACATACTCTTTTTTCTTTTCCTTTTTCAGGAACAGTATGAATTCTGCTACAAAGTGGTACAAGATTTTATCGATATATTTTCTGATTATGCTAATTTCAAATGAAGATTCTGCCTTAAGATATTTTTTAATTTAATGGTCAGGATGTTTGTAAAGATCATGTTAATTTATTTCACAGTCGGTATTAATATCCTCCCTACATTTCTTTGTACATATTTTGTTACGCACTCCAGACCCACCTGCTATAAACCCCCGGAATCCTAAATTCCCTTTCTAGGAGCTGGAATAGGGCGCTGGGCTGCCCACCATGATGCCACATGTAAGGTGGCTGCTGCTCTCAGCAAATGTCCCGTTTTCTCAGCGCCAGGCCATTCATTCTGTTCTGCTCCACGTGGGCAGCTTTTCCTCACGTTGGCCACTGCGGTGCGCATGCGTGTACACGCATCTGCAGGCTGCAGAACTGGGCCTTGAAGACAGGACTGGCCATCAGTTGGGGACCTGCTCCCTGTCGCCGACGATGTCACAAGTGTGGACAGCAGCATCTCCTGGGGCATTACTCGAAGGCAAACCATTTGCTGGCGGGGAAGATCCCACATCACAGTGAAGTCGTCAACGTCCATCCTGGGGCTCAGGGTTCACATTTTAGAGATCAAAGAGGACTTGCCGACCTGGGTTCAGGGCTGAAGGCCTCTTTGTCCTTGCGGCTGCATGGTGACAGTGTCCCGACTGCAATTGCTCCAGCCCATGTCTGTACAGCCTTAGACGAAGTACCCGGGTGGTCCAGTCTGTCCACAGCTCTGGGACAGCAGAGCCAGCATCCACCGCCCTACCTGCCGCTGTCTGGCCACTCCGATGATCCTCTGAGGATCCAGCCTACCTGTGCTCTCTGCCTCCCTTTTTTGCTGCAGCCCCCAGGCCCAGCCCAAACCACCCCCCAAACATTCAGGCAAAGCTGGTTACTGCCCCCACAGAAGCAGGAGGCAGAAACAGAGGTGTGTACCACAGTCACAAAGTTATAAGACCCATCTTCTGAGATGAGTTTTGATATGTAAAAACCTCTTGTCGAAGGCAGAGGTTGTTTGTAAGGGACAGAAAAAGAATCCTCAAATGTATTTAGATTTCTACAGTTGTGTGTGTGTCTGTGTTTTTAAGTCCCTCTGTCGAACATTTAACACGGAAAATGTACGGAGAGGCAAATGCTTCCTCTTCAAGCTGCCCGGTGTGGGATGGGTTACTACCACTGAGAGCTGGGGCACTGGGTGGGAGGGGCCCACGGCCAGACAGGATGGTCAGGGGCACAGACAAGGAGCGGGTGGAGTGTGCCCCCTGTGATGTGATAACTGCTGTCTCCCTGGGGCCGCAGGGTACCTGCAGATAAGCACCCCCCCAGAAAGAGGACGACTTCTCGTCTGGCTCACTGAAAGCATGTGCCAGGTGCGGGCCTGGGTACAGGTTTCCATTCTTCCAGGGAGCCGGGAAGGCCTTTCTTGACCAAGATGTTGGTCCTGAGTTTGCCGTGTTATTTGTAGCCTGCACAGGTATACCCCTGGGTGGCCCATTTTCTCACTAACAGGAGCCAGCCCAGCGTCTCCCTCCCCACCCCCCTACCCCCCAGCCCTGACTGTGCATCTGATGGCAGGGGAGGGTGGCTTTTGGTCTCACTGTTAAGACCCCAAACCTTGTCCTTGATTCCTGGGGAAGGAGAGTTTGTGTTAGTTTGGGCCACTTACAGTGAGGAAGGTGACACCTGTCGCTTATTGGTGAGTCCTTAGTCCAATGCCAAGGCGGCGGGGCCCAGTCTACTCTGACTCAGCTCCACGCAGGTCCTTTGGTGGACAGACTAGAATCTGTGTCAAGTCCTTTTTTGGTGGACTTTCTCAGGAGTGTCCTTGTGTCTCTTTTCTGCCCCGCTGGGGGGGGGGGGTGGCCCAGGCTATGCTGCAGGTATCCTTGCCCCCAGTCCCACCCCCTCCCACCCGACACAAAGCAGCAAGCCACTCTGCGAGGGAGGCAGCTTCTCCTTTTCGGGGGACCAGGGGGGGTCTTGCTGCCTCGACCGGAGGTCTCCCTGCAGGGCGCCAAAGGTACTGGATGATGGCTGCAAACTTGGCAGTCCTGGACCTGCCCAAGGCACCTGGAAGGAAGCCCTGGAGATCTGCGTCCACAAGGTCACCGCTTTGAAAGCCCAGAGAGCAGTTCTCTGCACTCCTGATGGTCGCCAGGGTCCACTCAAGGCTTCCCCCGCTCGAAGAGCAGCGGTGTGACCAGGGGGCTCCACTTCTCTGTGCCTTCCAGCAGCTGACCCACCTGGCCCCTGGGCCAAGGGAGCCTGCAGTATGTGCCACTTCTGTCCAAGTCTCTCTGTGTGCATGTACGGAAATGCCAAACAGCCATTGTAATCCCCCAGATCCGTCAGCTCTTGGTCACCATGTGACCCCTCCCCGTCCCCCCCCCACTGTCCCCCCACTGTTAGGTCACACCTTCGCGACAGAGGTAAAGCACACCCGTGTCTCCAGTGGTGTTTAAAAACTTTTAACAATGAGCCGGACACCACGTTTCTGCCTTTGGAGACAGGCCCGTTTAATTTTTTTAAATCTGTGTTCACTGAGACTTTCTGTTGTGTTTAGTTTCATGCATTAGGATCCCCGCTCCCACCTTTCTTTGACTGTATTGTCTAAAATTTGCCCTTGCCCTAACTGACTCTGGCACCGGTGCACGTGGTTCTCGCCCTGGTGTACGAAAACCGCGAGAGCGTCTCCCTTCCCGTGCAAGCTGGAGCTGAACCTTGACTTCCGCCGCTGGCTCTCTGTTCAAGGGGTTCCCTTCCTCTCACCCTGGCACCTGATGTCCTTGCGGACACACCCAGGAGGAGGCCAGCACTGACCTACAGAGGCGCCTTATGGTGGCATCTTCAGTGCCATCGAGACAGTCTGACTCACAGCCATGCTGTAGGACCAGGTAGAACCGCCCCTCTGGGTTTCAGACTGTACCTGCTTATGGGAGTAGAAAGCCTCATCTTTCTCCCTCGGAGTGGCTGGTGGTTTTGAACTGCCAGTTTTGCAGTATCAGCACAACGCATAACCCACGCACCACTATGCTCCCATGTCGACCCGGCAGCACTGCAAGCAGGAATTCAAACAGGACCCGTGCCCAGAGGTTCACTCAAATCAGCACTGCTCACCATTGCTAAAAAAGTCAAGACAGCCAAGTGTCCGCCCACAGGCAGATGACAAACAAAAGTTGCTTGGGCCACACAATGGAAAATTAGTCTGCCCTAGGGAGAGGCGAGTTCTCTAATCGGGCCTGATGGCCGGAGCAGAACTGCCAAGGCTGACAAGATGTGGTTGTAAGTGGATGCAGAGAGAAATCATGGCATGATTGAGCAGGGAAGGGGAATGACGTGTTTTGTTTCTCCACGTCATTCAGACTGGTGAGACTCCAGCTGGCGGCGGCAAGTTATGTGTAGAGAGAACAGTGTCTCCCAAACTGGGCAACACTGCTCCCTGGGAGGTGCTGACTGACCCAGGAGGGCTGCGAAAGCAGACACCCCCACTTTATCCTGGAAGATAGGCTAGCGTACCAAGGGTTTTAATTGCCAGTGCCTGCTGCTTTTTGTTTTTCCTGAGAGGGGGGTGGTGAGCCAGATCGGAAACGATGGTGTTGATAACACAATGTTAGCTGCAAGTTCAGGCCTCCCAGCTGAAAGAGAGGCTCTCCACTCCGACTCGACTGACCGTCTCTGAAGTCCTGCAGAGAGTGGCTGTGAGTAGCAATGACTCCCAGTCAGTGGAGCTCTGGGGTTTTACAGCAACCACACAAAACACTATCAGAGATACACTCAAAATCACCATAGATACATAAGGATGGAAGTGTAAGAAACATCCAGGCATCCCACAGGGAGGCATGAAAAATGCCACAGAGAAAGGAAAATCAGAACAAACAAAACAAAAACACACATAAATGGCAGGCGCAGGCTCTAAGGTACCAATAATGACATTACATGTAAATGGCTTAAATACATTAATTAAACACAGTGACTGGCAGAGTAGGTTAAAAAGCATGACCCAATCACATGCCGTCTACAGGAAACTCACTTTCAATATAGCAATATATTGGAAGTAAAAAGATGTATCATGAAAATAACACTCAAGGAATCAGGAGTGGCCATGCTAACCTCAGTTAAGACTTCAAGAAAAATCACTGCGCTCATTGTTTTTTCAAACAGAAATGCCAGGGCCTAAACGGAGCGCGCACTGTATTTAAATGACACGAAATGCAAGCAGTGCTCTTTAACCTGGTGAAGGTATCCAGATGTTCCTGGTGCGCATCAAGATTGCATTGCAATATTAACAAGATGTCATCAGTTACGGAAAGGAAGGTTTCCTGGCCTGGCTTGCCCATCACTCCGCAGGCCTTGTTCACACATCCTCCTGCATGGTTCCCTCCGACCCTCATCCAGTTTTGCGTTTCACCACACAGCCACCTCCTCCTGAGCTCTCTTCCCCACCCCTGTGTCCTGGGACCCCACTTGCTGGTTGTTTTTCATCTTCCCCCTCACCCCCACGTTGAAGGAGGAGGGGCCTGTGGGCCAGGTCCCCCACAGCTCTCCTGTCCTGCAGCGATGGCTGGGAGGAGAGTGGACAGGTGGGCTCCTGAGAAGGGCAGGCAGAAGCAGGGGACCTAGCAGGGGTCCACCTGGGGAGGGCACGCCTGGAGAATCACTTCCTGCAGGGGCATCAATTCCAAGCTGCAGGCTCTCCCTTTCTGGACACTAACAGCCCTGCGTGCCCCACTGAGCCCTGGGCTTCCCCTGCCAAAGTGGGAGAGGACGGCCAAAGACAAGTGGACCAAGTGCGCTGGGGAACTTGGGGGCTCTGTTTGGGGAGAGCTGGGTGTCTGAGTTCCCCAGGCCCTGGAGTCCCTGTTCCTCCAGTGGAGCTCACTCCTCAGCCTGGGGCCGATCATGTGACCACATCTGGGTCTGCTCTATATCACATGACAAGTCTCCCACGCAGCATTCCTAGGTACAGCAGCACGTCCCCCATGGCAGGCACTGAGGCAGGACAATCGATACTCGAGAGAGACCATGAATAGTTGATTCCTTTGAGTTACGGTGTTGGGGAAGAATATTAAAATTACCCTGGACTGCCAAAATCACAATCCACTCTGCCTTGGGGTAAGTGTAACCAGCATGCTCCTTAGCAGCAACGAAGGTGATACTACATCTCACGCGCTCTGGGCAGGTGATCAAGGACCAGTCCCTGGAGAAGGGCATCATAAAGAAGACCCTTGATGGAATGGACTGACGCAGTCGTTGCAGCCATGCGCTCATGCAAGAACACTGTGACAACTGTGCAGGACTGGGCAGAGTTTCGCTCTCGTGAACACAGAATCCCAGCCAACAGCAGCACGGCAGGGACACAGCTGCAAGCAACAGGGCGCGTTAGAAACGAGGCTCTCTCTCTCCTCCTTCCTTGTCCTCCTTTTGCTCTTCTGCTCTGGCATTTCGGCCTCTTCAGCTGTGACCGCAGCGGCCTCCTCCCCAGCCATTCCGCAGCCCTCTCTCTCTCAAGTGTAATCGGTCACTCTGTCTTCAGTGCGCAATCCTTTTCAGACCTCTGTTCCAGCAAGGGAGGCAACGACAGTAACTGCCACTGACTCAACAATTTGTGTGTTCATTCCTTCAGCAAATATTTGGTGCCTGTTTCCGTCCCAGGTACTGAAGCTACCCCAGTGGACAGATGAGGGGCATCCTTACACTACCCATTCTGGGGTGTATACCCAATAATGCCTGCCTCCACAGAGTGGAGTGTTTATTAAACGTACACTAGGCTGCTGCTCAAGGAGCCCCGCTGGCATAGTGGTCACATGTAAGGTCAGCCGCTCTGTGGGAGAAAGAGATGTCTGCTCCCATCAAGAGTGACCGTCTCGGAAAGCCACGGGGGCAGTTCTGCCCTGTCCCCTAGGGTGGCTGTGGGCAGGCATGGACTCGATTGCAGGGAGCTTTGTGGATTCGGCCGCTCCTCGGGAAGTTGTGAGATGAAGTTGTTCCCCAAGACTCACATCCTCCAGGCAGGGACCGGGCACAGACTCACATGCCCTCCGTGGCTCTGTGCACCCAAAGCC